AACCACAGTGCGTGAAAACGAATGATTCAAACATTGAATGATAAGGGTATTCCTTCTAATCATATATAATGCAGTTATCAGGACACAAAAATGTGCAGAGTACTTACAACCACAGTCATCTTTCACAAAAAACAATGGAAAAGTATGTCAAGAATATTGAGTGGCCCGACTTCAATAGTTCAAACTGAAACACACTCTTGTCGAAACAACGTAACAACAAAGTCAAACGCCGACAGCAGCAGGGCTATTCGAGGATGCTGTGCTTTACGGAAGAAATTTCAACATGAAGTCGTCCTCGTCTTCGACAGAAGCACATAAACAGCAAACTTATAGAAGAATAACATGCATATTTGACTCTTCAGACGACGAAGACGCTACATGAGTTCACCTTTGACATAGAAAGAGTCAGCTTCGTTGAAAAGCTAAGTACTTATTTTTGTCAAGCTTTTCCTCCTTTTTCTTTAGGATATTTTTGAATGAATACTTACGAAAATTAATTCGTTGCTAATAAACTGTCATGCTGTAAGCTTAGTTAATTCATTTCAGTATTTAATTTCACCATTTCCAGCCTTGATTTAACTTGTAAGGCACTTTTTTTGTTAGTTCCATAGAATTAGCTTTCAAACCTAAGTGGATACTTGTAAAAGCGACTTGATAAATCACTTTGAATTTCAAGAAAATCTCAGTTCGTATATAATAAACAAACTCACTCTCGCTTAGCCTCGTTCGTTCGTTTTGTGAAAGTGGTCAACTGTACCACGGGCACGCTAACACCACGGCTTTGTCCAGTAGTCCAGTGTTCAGTGCACTGGGCTCCGAGTCGGACGACCCAGGTTCTAGTCCTGGCCAGGGCAAGGCGTTGTGCCCTTGAGACGTACGGAAAAAAAAATGCGAGCTCCGCTTTTAGGCTTGGCTAAATCTACATATTACAAAATAGTAGTAACCCATCAAGCCGAAAAAAATTGGATGTACGATCGTACGACCGTACAAGGTGCTACTTTTAACATGCGTGGTCAACTGTGATCGCGGGGACGCCAATACCAGGCTTTGTTCAGTAGTCCAGTGGTCAGTGCACTGGGCTCCGAGTCAGACGACCTAGGTTCTAGTCCTGGCCGGGGCAAGGCGTTGTGCCCTTGAGACGTGCGGGGAAAAAAAATGCGGGCTCCGCTTTTTTTAGGCTTGGCTAAATCTTGTTATTATGCAGGAGAGCTTGTTAGTAGTAGTCCATGGTTCGGCCGGACATGTTTGCTTGCCTATTTGACTGTGAGAACTCTGGGCATAGAATAGTTTCAACGCAAGGGGTCTTGAAACAGTTAAAAAAAACACCGTGGGCAGCTATGGAGGACTTTCCTGGTAAGTAACTGTGTTTTCTTCTCGATCCGTGCCTTATCCTTGCTTACCAAGAAAGTCCTCCATGGCTGCTCACGATGTTTAAAACCCCCTGCGTTGAAATTATTCTGTACCCAGAGTTCTCACGGTCAAACAGGCAAGCAAACAAATCCAGCCGAACCATGGACGCTGGAAATCATCGGCTACTACAGACAAGCTCTCCAGCATATTACTCTTTTCTCGAGACCACCGAAAATTATACTTTACAAATTCAGCGCAAAAATCAGGTTTGTTCACGTCCCCGAGTCCCACTTCCCCGAGTTCCACGTCACAGAGTCCACGTCCCAGAGTCCACGTCCCCGAGTCCCAGTTCCCACGTCTCAGTCCCGCTTTTAGTCACAGCCCTAGATCCATCATATACGGTGAAACATGGTTTACCTACCAAACATGGCCGAGGCATCGGAAGGCTGCGCGTTAGAGGACAAAGCGAGTTGTGCGCGAGTTTCTGCCGAGAATAACATAAGAAGGAGATTTGTGGGAACTAAGTCTAATGCTGGAAAGACGACTGAAAAACTCGTAGGTTCAATGTAGTTGATATCGGCTTGTAATTCACTATGCACGTGCACACGTTAACGTAGAAGGAACAGAATTGTAATCGTTCCCACTCTCAAACCCATTTTTAACGCATTTCTTCCTTTCTCTTCCTTTTTTTGTCGTATTCCTTTCCTTTAGGTGCACACGATATAATTTTTACGTTCATGTTGTACTTTAATATGTATCCTAAGCCCAATAAATGGATGAAAACTGAGTTGTTTTTTGTTTGCTTGTTTTGGTTTGTTTTGTTTTAATTTCCTTATCTGTAACCTTGCACTGTTACTTATAATTTGATATACTAGTCGAAATCCCCAGCCCTGTACCCAGTATACATGCCTAAGTCTCTGATCCCTGGGGGATAATATGGTAAGATTTCCGCTCAGCTCCATTCTTCATTATGCATACATATCTTGGATAACTAAAAGAAAACGATGGCGAAAACAATAGATTACCTTTGTTTTACAATTGTATGGGACTGTACGGAAATCTTGCTGAAAATATTCCGATCAAACTTTCTGTTCCTTGAGCAAATATTGTCAAGGGATTAAAAAAAAAAAATAGTCACTGTTATTGAAATGCCTTACATTCCCTGTTATTCAAGAAATAGGAGCAAATAAGAGAAGAGTTGTTCGTCAGATTCCAATCTTGAGCTGCAAGATACTGTAAGGCAGGTAAATAATGAGAAACTTCACATGACTCTTGGTTCACTTGACCCTTTAACCCCATAAGTGACCAGGAAAGAATTTCTCCTTACAATATCAGTACAATATCAAGCAGACAAGTGATGAGAATGAAGAAAAATATCAATTAGGGGATTAATAGCTGATCCAATACCCAACTTCTCAGAACTGACATCAAAAGAATTGTTGGGCAGACAGTAAGGAGAATTACTAATGAGATCTTGAGAGTCAAAGGGTTTAAAAAGTAAGTTAATTACTTTCAAGTCCCTTTCAACTGATTTAGTTTTATAAAATCCAATTAGGTTCATCATTGGGATTTTCAGTCAGCAGACTGAGTGTGGAAAGAAATTAAAATGTGACTTCTCTAAGTATAAATGTATTGTAAGTTGCTCTCCACGAACTCCTAATCAATACATGCTATAGAAATCATGATAAGCTTTAGTCCCTCTGTCATTTGATCTTGTATGCAGACCTTGGCCTTCAAATGTTGTCATGAAAAAAATGAAAAAATATGATGTCATCTTCAACCACAATAGGCATAAATCAATGTCAGTTTCATGTTCTTTTTTTTTTTTTTCAATCATCAGTGGCATTACAGTTTCCTGAAGGACAGCAGACATTTTGGAAAGGTATTTCAAACCAATTCCTACCAAACTTTTCTTATGTTTGTTATTTTTACACATAAATTATTTGATACATTTCATATGTTGGAAGGATTGTAAAAAGTAGCAATTGATAATTATATCACTTTGAATGGACTGCAAGCCAGCTGTTTACCTACTGACAGCTTGCTTAAGTATGCCAGGCATTTGTCAATTAACAAAAAGATTCCATATTGCCGTGTATCTGTTCAGCGACAGTGTGTCACTGATGGTCTTACCGCATTTTGGCGTCTTCCGCAATCTATTACTGTACAAACCCACAGCAATACAGTCTAATCTATTTGTTTTATGTGGTAATAAATCAAAATATTGTCAATAGTGACATCAACTAAATTGTATGCATCTGTCCCACAATAGCTCATATTAAGTAAAAACCATTCAAAATGTGTGCATAATTCAGCTTATCATATAATTTCAAAGCTGACATTTTGAGTGTTAGCCCTTTGTCATAGCCAAGGACTAACACTTGAAACTTCAGCTTTGAAACTCTTTATGGTGGCCAATTTACACTATTAACTCAGTTAATAATACTAAATTATCCTGTTATACTCCATCACCAATTCAGCACTACAGTTTCTTTACAAACTTACCCCCTTTATTAATTTATTATTATCATATAATAATTATATGATCTATGATGGATTCTGAAGGATTATAACTGTAAGATAATCTGCACATGCATACTTTTTTGCCCATCACCTCAAAAAAATTCATACAGAAAGTGGCTCAGGTTTTCAGCACTGGGTGACTGCCATTGTACTCAGTGGGACTTTTGTGTTAAATTCATAGGTTGTGATACAGTCATCATGGGGGATGTCACGTATGGTGCTTGCTGTGTTGATGACCTGGTTGTGATCTTATGGTTCACTATGGTACAGCTGCTTGAGTAAGAGAAAAAAAATTTTGATAGACATCACTTAATCTTCTTCATCATAATGTAAACTCATATTATACCACAACTGAATCCTTTCAGCCTTGATGTTTTTCTTCTAACCTCCCAGTTTCACCTTTTGAAGTCCCCTTTGTCTCACCTTATACTTCATAGTTCTCTCAAGTTGCCCTGTGTTTTTATTGCCCTTGCTTTCTGTTCTCTGCTGGTAGATATGTCTAAGTTTTGAATGATTTTTTTTTTGAGGAATCCTTGCTTTATAACTTTGATGCTTGAGCAACACAGCAGTTCAATGTCAGTAGCATGGTATTTTGATGCAAACAATAGTGTTGCAATCAGTGGCTATGAATGTATTAAAAAAATTCAAGCCTGTGCTGGATTTGAACCCATGACCTCTGCGATACCAATGCAGTGGTCTACCATTAATGAGCTAACAAACCAACTGGGAGCTGGTCATTATGTTGGTTCATAATAAAACCATGAAGTGATGAATCAATTTTTTCTTTTTTTTTTCTCTTTTTTAATTGTGACTTATTTATGTATATATTCACTCAAACTAGCACTGGTGTGCTAAACAATAAGCAAGTTCAAATAAAGCTTTATTACTACTACAATGACCATGAAGATAGTTGGTTGCAAGTTAGCACTTTCTTTTTATCAAATATGGTTATGAAGACTGAAAATGACACTTTATTAGACTAAGTTGTTTTGGTACAAGATATCCCTCATGAAATTCGACTCATTATTTTTGCAACTTTTGGTCTCTTCTATTGATGCAAAATTGAAAGACCCTAAACAATTAGTAACCATATATACAGTACTGTAGGTAAGAGAATGTGAAAAGGTTCATTATTTGTTCATTGTTCTATAGTTCCTATTGACTCGACTAAAGGAATCAAGATGTTATATGTATTTGTGGACATAAAGCTGGATGCCACACATTTTGTCAATACAGTCAGACACAATTTTGAAGCTGGAAAGTCACTTGCACTTTTGAGCACAATCCAGTTTGTGACAACACTTCAAGTATGTATTAAATGATTACACTGATAGGACAGGGATCATGTTTATTGTAGGTACAGTACTCTCGACTGAATATATTGGTAGAGAGTTGGTCGATACTTAACCAATATATTGGTTGACAGTCGGTCGACAGTCGGATGACTGACTGCTTCTTCTGGATGGGAGGAGCATCTCACATGGTTCTCTATCAGGCATTTTGTCAAGTTTCCATGACAACTCACTGGTACCCATTTCTCTCCAAGCTAGAGAGAGGGGAGAGAGAATGCAACACAGTGACTTGGCTGAGACTTAAACCCTGTGGTTTGGACCCAGTGTCTCCTTTTATTGTGTTCATACTTTCAAATAATTTTGACATATATGTATTTAATTTGTTGTTTACCCAGGCTGTATATCAAGACCTGTGTAAAGATTATCAGGTAGAGATTCCGCAGTGTAAACCATTGTCACCTGGAGAGATTCTGGGCTGCACTGCTCCCAGAATAAAACACAAGGATGCATTCATGTAAGAAAATTATTAAGCAAAACAAAAAAGAAATAATTATGTAATTTAGTTCATTATGAATTTAAGAAAACTGCACCAACTCTTTCATAGCAAGTATTCTTAAACAAATTGAATATTCTTTTGAAAATCTTTCTTATTATTTGTATTGGCAAATCTAGTTGTAAGTACTGTAGTGGTTTAGTTTCATTAAAGATTTGCACCATTAGATCTGAAGCTATTTGCTTATAAATAAAACAATATCCTGAACCAAGGATCACTGTAGTTAGGATGAAAATTAGGCAGTTTGTTTGTGTTTTCACCATGTCCGTTGTTTTGTCAGGAAAACTCCCATTGAGCCTCTGTCTTATTTCTGGAAGAATTGTTTGGCATTCTTCCTGCTGTGTCCATGGCATATTTATTGTTTAGTGATGTTGCCTAGCAACAATGGTGCCCACTTTGACTAAAATAATCATGTTTGTTCTGAGGACTAACTTAAAATCAATTAACCCTTTCATTCCCAAGATCTCATTAGTAATTCTCCTTACTGTCTACCATACAATTATTTTGATGTTAGTGTGGAGAATTTGGTGCTGGATGAACTACAACTACCCCCTAATTGATATTTTCCTTTAGTTCATCACTTGTCTGCTTGATATTGTATTGATATTGTAAGGATAAATTCTATCTTGGTCACTCATAGGAGTGAAAGGGTTAATCATTTCATTGGGTGGAAATTGAGGAAAAGTGTTATCAAAAACTAAATTGGGAAACAGATAAGTGGGTGTTATGTTTTTGATTAATGTGTTATTATTGCAATTATTCCTAGTTAAATGTTTGTTTTGTCACTGTATTTACCATTTTGATTATAAGCAGCAGCTATCATTTAGGCACATGCCACCGACCACGGCAGGTACGTGTACTTGTTTCAATTTTTTCACTGGAATGATCTTTAAACTTAAACTTTTTTTTTAGTTACTTAGGTGATGGAAGGTTCCATCAAGAGGCTGTCATTATTGATAACCCATCTACACCAGCATACATGTACACGTAGAGAACCTCAAAAGGCAGATTTCTTTACGTGTACCAAATAGCCTTGCCTTGCATAACATGTAGCTTCATATTATTTCAATTGGTTGCAGTGCTCAACAGCTAGAGAGGCAGCAGATTGAGCCATCATTGAAGCCTGATTTTTTCAGACCTCTTTCGTGTAATTCTGTGAATAAAAATTCATCACTTTTTCGATTAAAAAATTGTTTGTCTCTAGTAAAGGCATACTGTCTGTGTGGACAGAGTGCGATTCCCGTCTTTTCCAGTGTTTTCCCTATGCTCTCACTAAAGCAGACCCCCTACCGCCTTGTACGCTTTGGATTGTTAGACATTGTATACCTCTCTGGGCCTTTGAGACACACAACTTTGTACTAAAATTCTACTGCACTTTCGCTTTTATCGCAGATACGATCCCCATAGCAAAGTGTTTTCTAGGGAATATTACGATATTGATGCCATGTTTCAAGCGAGGAAAGACGCCATAACTACAGCATCAAGAGCTAAGAAATTTGGACTCATTCTGAGTACATTAGGAAGACAAGTAAGTCCAAAGGTGCTAGAGGTATTGCATACAGCTAAAATGTGAAAATTTTATGAGTAAATATACTTTTTGAACGGAGTTCTACTTTGTGTGATTCAAAATTAAACCTTTAGTTGTGTGTTGAAAGTAATCGGTAATCAGTTCGCCATGTCATGGGTTGACTGACGTGAACAATCCAAGCTACCCTCTCAACCAATCAGGTGCAAGGCAAATACCAATCGTGACTCGGTCAATAATGTTGCTCTCACTGTACCTTTTAATTTTAGTTCCCATCGGGTTTTGATTATATTTTCCAACGTAGTGATTGGACATCTGCTGGTGACTACTATGTTTTTGGTATTACGGCATACTATCGAAATGCACTTTAAGACATGACTTAAACTCTCTCTGGATAAAATCAAGTCATTCTCGCATCTAAATATAAGTTTTTCTGATGCAATTAACTTTGGGGAAGGCTGCAAATTTAAATTTAAATTCTCCAGTTTTCTTACGATGTAATGTGTGGAATATTTTCGTCTATGCAGAGGAATCTCTATTTTTTGAGCATCCTTATTTAAACGTTTTCTCTACTTGAGGGACACAAACTTTGATTAAAACCCTTGTATTCGATGCCGTCATTGAGGGGACACCCCTAGTTCAGGGATATTTTGCTCGTGACGGTTATTATTCATGTTATCATCTTTTCCAAAGAGCTCATAAAACAGATTTCACGAATCCTTTCATCTTTTAATTTTATCCGCAGAAGTTAGAAGAACGATTCAGCAAGGCGGGCCTGGAATATGTAATTGTACTCATGTCTGAAATATTTCCGGGTAAACTTGGATTGTTCGAGGACGTGGAAGCGTAAGTTGCTTTTCTATTTAAGATGTGAAAACTGCTTTCCGTCGATAAGATAAGATAAGATAAGATAAGATAAGAACCGTCTTCACGTAAATTCTGTTTTGTCAATTGTCCTTAACAAAAAATCGCATAATCAGGACGTGAAATTGCGCCCAATACAGGCGCCAATGCGACTAAATTTTTCACTTTGGTGACCAAATCCTGAAAATTAGTCGCCAAATTGGCGACTAGAATGTTTCATCATAACCTTACCAAGAGATCTAGTGAATTAAAAAGATTTGCAAAGACAAATCCGCGGCAAACTTCCTCGTTAAGTTTGTTTCCAAAATGCAGCACATGCATCTCAATCGATAACTAGACGCCATCTTTGATTTAGGTGAGATTAAACGTTGCATATCATCCATCCTAGTGTCCATTTTGTAGCACGTTAAAGATCTTTTCCCCTACTTAATTTCTAGAACGATGACAGCGTAAAAAAGAGGTTGTCTTGGTCATGTCATTCGTTTCCTGCTGTGTAGGAAATTAAATCATTGTCATTTTAAACATCGGAATCAACGAGTCTCTTACCTGTGATCTTTGATTAAAATCCTAAGAGGGCACAAAAGACTAGAAATAGAACGGCACTAGATACCAACGAAACAATGGATGAAAACACTAGTATACTAAGATAAAGGAGAGACTAACGTAACAATCGAATGTAAGGCGGTCCTAAGACTGCGCGAGACAGTTACGAGATAGGTAATGCGCGGAGATGCTGTCGTAACAGTGTAATCAAAGAACATCCTAAAACTGCCTGGATACCGAAGTAACAATCAACTGAAAGAGAAACTTAAAGAGAAAACAGAGATAGAAGCTAAAAAATTAGCTACTAACATAATCCAATCCAAGAAAATCCTAAAAATGCGCGAGACACTAACGTAACTTTCCAATGAAGGAATATCCCGAAAGTGGGCAAAACACGAACCAAACAGTCAAAAGCTCAAAAGGGCACGAAGCAGTAGTGAATTAAAGGGAATCCTTAAACGGCACAAGATACAAATGCAACAATCAAATGATAAAGAATCTTTAAAGAGCGCGAGATACTAACGTAACAATCCGATGAAAGAAAATCCTAAAAGTGTGCAAGATATTAACGTTAAAATTAAATGAAAGAAAATCCTAAAAGTGCACGAGGTGCTGTGACAAAATCCAATAAAAGAGAATTCTTAAGGTGAGCGAGATACTAACGTAACAGTCCAATGAAGGAGAATTCTTTAAGTGCGCGAGGTACTCACGCAATAATCTAACGAAAGAGAATTCTTTAAGTGCGCGAAGTACTAACGTAATAATCTACAAAATGGAATTCTAAAAGCGGTTATGGTACTAACGTAACAATCCGAAAAAAAGAGAATCCTAAAAGTGTCCAGGATACCAGGGTAGTAATCGATTGAAAGAAAAGCTTTTAGTCTGCGAGATACCAACCAAACAATTGAGAGAAAGAGAAATTATAACATAACGCGCGTGCTTGCACTATATAAGTCCTGTTAAGCCGCTATGAACAAAATATTAATTATCTACGCACGCCCGTGCGTAAATAAGTTGACGTGATCAATTTTTACCTAGCTTTCCGTCCTGTTAAGCTGCAGTGCAGTTTTCCTTCTCTTTGAAATATGGAAGAAAACCAGCGAAGAACTGCCCAATTTTTCTATCGGCATTGACCTTTTAGGTCCTGATCCAACAAGCAACAAAAATAAAGCCGAAAAAAACTCGCAATTTGCACGTTTCGCAAATTTTCATTCACAGTTATCGGTTAACTGGATCAAATGTTCTCCCTCAAACCAAAGAATAAAATGTGGCGTGTTTTTAACCAGCCAATAGGGACGTTTGTTTACTTTTTTTTTGTGCGTTGTGAGAATTTTGCACTCTATCACAATAAAAGGCTTCTTCGCGCAGATCCTTGTTGTCGCTCTGTTATAGAAGAATTTGCTCATGCTTTTAGCTGTACGTATATCGAGTTATGGGTGCACTTGCGAAGTTTGGAGAGCACTCAAAAACCTAGAGTGGCTCTCGGCTGCGCCTTGAGCTACTCTTACGCATTTTCGTGCCCTCCAAACTTCCCGCGTACATCTATAATTCGATATAGGCACGCTAAACATGAACAAATTCTTAACTTAAAGTGCTCGTGATAACAATACAGCAATCGATAATAAAAGCAGCATAAAAGTGTGAAAGATACTAAAGTAGCAATCCAATCGAAGACAATGCTGAAATGCGCATGACAATAAAGTAACTTTTGAATTAAAGAGAATCCTGAAAGTGGGCAAGACACTAACCTAACAATAAATTAGAAGATAATCCTAAAAGCTCACGAGAAATTGACTTTTTTATCGAATGAAAGTTTCTAAGATAACAAACCAATAACAGACAATAGCAAAACTGGGCAAATGATTAACGCAACAAGTGAAGGAAAGAGAATCCTTAAGGTACACAAGATACCAACGCAACAATTAGTTGATCGGATTACCGAATGAAAAACAAAAACCAGAAGATAAGTCTCGGTCAGCGAGTGTTCTAAAGCCAACCCTCAGAAGTTGGTCGTACTACATTACATCTCCTTG